GAGGCGCGTGGCATTCTGGGGGATGTAGGCATAGACTTCTCGACCTATCACAGCCAAGCGTCAACCGCAAAACTTTCTGGGAAATACAAAAACAAACAACCGCACAATGCGTAGCGTCCATGGATCTAAGATTGTTTTTCAAATGTCGTGTCAGTGGTTCTACACGTCTGTGCGAGGCTTAGCATGTGCGGCTTAGCATGTGCGCTGTGGCAGAGGCAGTGGACACGGAGACCTGGGGCATGCGGCGACAGCAAGAGATGAACCTTTTCCTCCAGGCGGCTATCAGAGAGCTATCAGAGAGCTATCAGAGAGCTATCAGAGAGCTATCAGAGAGCTATCAGAGAGCTATCAGAGAGCTATCAGAGAGCTATCAGAGAGCTATCAGAGAGCGGCCCCACTGAGCCGTCATGGGGACACAAAACAGGAGATAAACCAGGACTAAACCAGGACTAAACCCTGTGACTGTAAACAGGGCTGCTAACGTGTGTTAGCCGACACGACTAACTTATTTATTCTTTAATGCTTTGAAATTATTTAAAATTTGTATCGGATCGGTATTGGCAAAACAATATTTAGAATATCGCAATCGGATCGGATTTAAAAAAATCTAGATCGGTACATCCCTATTTTAGAGATTAAGCTAAATGGAAGCTACTTTCAATACTTTCAATGTGTGTATATTTTAAATATGTGAGTTGTTTTGCCTCAGGGTTCAAAGAAATAGAAAAAAAGTAGTGGCTTAAAGCTGCACTAACTGACTTTATTTTTGTATTCATTACAAAAATGCGAGTTTTGATGAAACAAGGAAGAGAATGTGTTTCGGGTCTCAGATTGTGACCAATCACAGCGGACCACTAGCCCCCACTTTCGTGAGAAATCTACAGGTCCGTTAGCATAGACAGCTGAGTTAGCACAACAAGCCGAGGAGCTAACCTGAAGCTTCGTGTCTTCGTCACCGGGTACTGCTTACTCAGCGAGACAGCCATCCAAAAGAAAGTCTCGTTCCTCCGCGCTTCCCGGTTCTATCGTTCTATGGTCACGCCATCCACGTGCAAATCCATATCCATGTATTATCCATATTGAGAGACGCTAGCTCCGTGAACAACAGTGGGTGTGTGCGGGGGGCGATAGCTTCGTGGGTGCGGGGGGCGATAGCTTCGTGGGTGCGGGGGCGATAGCTTCGTGGGTGCGGGGGGCGATAGCTTCGTGGGTGCGGGGGGCGATAGCTTCGTGGGTGCGGGGGGCGATAGCTTCGTGGGTGCGGGGGGCGATAGCTTCGTGGGTGCGGGGGGCGATAGCTTCGTGGGTGCGGGGGGCGATAGCTTCGTGGGTGCGGGGGGCGATAGCTTGTGGGTGCGGGGGGCGATAGCTTCGTGGGTGCGGGGGGCGATAGCTTCGTGGGTGCGGGGAGGGGAGCAGAAAGAGCGAGGCCAGCGAGTCCGCGGCTTCAAAATCCCAAAGTCAGTTAGTGCAGCTTTAAAGTCCAGCAGTTTCTTTTGAATGCGCTGAAAACGGCTGCATCTAATCCTAAGTTTTGCTTTTTTCTGCCTGAGATGTTGCTGTAGTTCAGTGTTCATGGTTTTACACTGGTCCAGACCAGAGCAGAGAGGATTCATGGTTTTACACTGGTCCAGACCAGAGCAGAGAGGATTCATGGTTTTACACTGGTCCAGACCAGAGCAGAGAGGATTCATGGTTTTACACTGGTCCAGACCAGAGCAGAGAGGATTCATGGTTTTACACTGGTCCAGACCAGAGCAGAGAGGATTCATGGTTTTACACTGGTCCAGACCAGAGCAGAGGATTCATGGTTTTACACTGGTCCAGACCAGAGCAGAGAGGATTCATGGTCCAAACCAAGTGGATCAAGTGAAAACCCACTGGAGGAATGCTAACTTTTTGAAAAATGCTAATGAAGCATTTAACATTTTACTTTGGACCAGAGCAGAGAAAATGGTCTAAAACAAGCGGCTACTCCACCTCTGCTGCTGTGACCCGTCCTGCTCCACCCAGAGGCTACTCCACCTCTGCTGTGACCCGTCCTGCTCCACCCAGAGACTACTCCACCTCTGCTGCTGTGACCTGTCCTGCTCCACCCAGAGGCTACTCCACCTCTGCTGCTGTGACCTGTCCTGCTCCACCCAGAGGCTACTCCACCTCTGCTGCTGTGACCCGTCCTGCTCCACCCAGAGGCTACTCCACCTCTGCTGCTGTGACCTGTCCTGCTCCACCCAGAGGCTACTCCACCTCTGCTGCTGTGACCCGTCCTGCTCCACCCAGAGGCTACTCCACCTCTGCTGCTGTGACCCGTCCTGCTCCACCCAGAGACTACTCCACCTCTGCTGCTGTGACCCTGTCCTGCTCCACCCAGAGGCTACTCCACCTCTGCTGCTGTGACCCGTCCTGCTCCACCCAGAGGCTACTCCACCTCTGCTGCTGTGACCCGTCCTGCTCCACCCAGAGACTACTCCACCTCTGCTGCTGTGACCCGTCCTGCTCCACCCAGAGGCTACTCCACCTCTGCTCCTGTGACCCGTCCTGCTCCACCCAGAGACTACTCCACCTCTGCTGCTGTGACCCGTCCTGCTCCACCCAGAGGCTACTCCACCTCTGCTGCTGTGACCCGTCCTGCTCCACCCAGAGGCTACTCCACCTCTGCTGCTGTGACCCGTCCTGCTCCACCCAGAGGACTACTCCACCTCTGCTGCTGTGACCCGTCCTGCTCCACCCAGAGGCTACTCCACCTCTGCTGCTGTGACCCGTCCTGCTCCACCCAGAGGCTACTCCACCTCTGCTGCTGTGACCCGTCCTGCTCCATCCAGAGGCTACTCCACCTCTGCTGCTGTGACCCGTCCTGCTCCACCCAGAGGCTACTCCACCTCTGCTGCTGTGACCCGTCCTGCTCCACCCAGAGGCTACTCCACCTCTGCTGCTGTGACCCGTCCTGCTCCACCCAGAGGCTACTCCACCTCTGCTGCTGTGACCCGTCCTGCTCCACCCAGAGGCTACTCCACCTCTGCTGCTGTGACCCGTCCTGCTCCACCCAGAGGCTACTCCACCTCTGCTGCTGTGACCCGTCCTGCTCCACCCAGAGGCTACTCCACCTCTGCTGCTGTGACCCGTCCTGCTCCACCCAGAGGCTACTCCACCTCTGCTGCTGTGACCCGTCCTGCTCCACCCAGAGGCTACTCCACCTCTGCTGCTGTGACCCGTCCTGCTCCACCCAGAGGCTACTCCACCTCTGCTGCTGTGACCAAGCAGCCTGGCTGTAATCCCCCAACCTGGTACATTACCAGAAGGCGGCACGCACTACCAGGGGGTGCATTGGATGAATGGTTGAAGTTTCTCCGCTTGAAGATTCTTTTAGCCCGTCCGTTTGTGAGAGGTTCTCGACTGCTCTCATGTCGCACAGAAAATAAAAATACAAGTGGCCTTTGGGGAAAAAAATTATACATATTTTAATAATATCAAGAATACCTTAGCTCTAATTTGTTTTGGTGAGGCTCTTTCTTTGACTTCCGTCACTCTTCCCTTCTCCATGGGCCATTCAACACTTTGCCTGATTTTGCCAGCTACACAGTGTCCCCTCGGGTAGTCTGGAATATTGCCCCACCCTGTGGATGCCGAATGTCTATGGCCGAGGAGGTTGGCAAGTATGTCCATCTCATTTTGTCTTTCATATTGAGAACTGTAGACATAGTAGCTATGTGCTTTCTAAAGTTGGTGAGGATAGCATCTCTGGATGCCACCGCACCACATTCTTTGGCTACCCTGGCGTAGGGAGTCAGATCCCCTGATTGTGGTGTCTGCGCCCATGGGCGGGTGAAAAGAAGTATGGGGTTATGGTCAGAGATGGAACAGGCCCGTTCTGTTCTCCACCAGCACCTCCATACGAAGCAATCATTTCAGGAGTCAAAAGAAACCGGTCCACTTTACCCACTTCTATTCTTTTCCCTTTAATTTCAATGCGTTGAAAATGACCTGACACAGCTTTTTCTCAAGTTGGGACAGTCCCAAGCAATGTCAGAATGGATCCCAGTCATACTTCTTAAGGTAAAGGCTGTCAGTGGCATCTTTTGAAACCTCACCTTCCCCTTCTTCGATTGAAAATGATGACCTCACAAAGAGTCAAAACTGCCAGTTTAGACCAATGCTTAGACGTTGGCTCACTTATAGGGTTTGCACATATTCAGGTCGACATACCTCAATATGTTGCATGCATGGCTCTAAACGTCCTCAGTCAGAGGGAGCAGGTCCGGAGTGTTCCACTTGGCTTGCCGGAGGGTCTGTAGGGCAGCAGAAGAAACACAGACGTCCACCTCTTCTCAAAAAAAGCAGTCCGGCTTCGTTGGAGGTTTTTTAATAAATTAGTTCATCAACACAATGCTCCTATTTTTTGAGTCACATTCAAGAATATCATGCTATTTCTGAGGCTATGGCCGAGTTTTGAGGGCCAAGGATGGAGTCTTGTATTTGATTTGTTTTCCTCATCATATCCAGCCACAGACCTGTACTTGCATCAATCACATGGTTAAAAGTTGGAAGGAATAAAAGAAATCACCTTCAGTGTTGTCAGTTCCCTGCGGTTGTTGCTTGTTAATTAACTACCGACTTCTCTCCATTTGCTTCCTAATGTAATCATGCATAGTCTTTATCATGCCCGGGTGTTTTATAAGGGACAGGTGCTCTGTCCGTGCTGAGTCTCAGAATCCCCTTTTTGCTTTGACAACATCCCGTGACCTCTTCTGATTGCATTGCCAAATTAAAGACCACCCGCTTTTTGCTGATGCCCTCCGGTACAGGCGGTGGGGCGTAGGGTGCAGAGGGACTGGGACCCTACTTTCTACCTGGGGTTAGCTGGTTTTGCCTGTGCATTTTCTGGTGAAAGCCGGATCCTGGCCACTTGCGCCACAGCCACGTTCGCGTATAGCATGCCCCACAGTGCGATACAGTGGCAAAAACGCACTGGATTTAACTGGGGAATTGGCTGTGGGGTGTGATTAGGGCAAGGACAGGGGCGTGTGCATGCGAGGGGGGTGGGGGGGGGGGGGGGTGCGGGTGGTCAGGTATGGTAGTGGGGGGGTGGTGTAGGGGGGGGGGGGTAGGCCTGGCGGATGAGGGGGGGCGGAGCGCGCGAGGTCCTGGGTGGGGATGCAGGGGGAAGCGGGGGGGAGGGTGCTCGGGGGGGGAGGGGGTGGGCAGGGGGGGGTGCGCCGGTTGGGAGGCCGAGGGAGGGGGCCGGCGGTCAGCGGGGGGAGGGAGTACGCGTGTAGGGGCAGACACTTGGTGAGTAGCGGGGAGCTGAGGGCGGCGCAGGCGGGGTTGTGGAGGGGTGGGGCGCGGGGTCGGCGTAGCAGAAGAGGTTGTGCTCGGTGGTAGGGCTTTAGAGGGTGCGGGTGTCTGCATACTTCCGGTAGGTGTGGGCCTTGATAATGTAGGATGGGGCTGCAAGCCCGGGTTGGGAGTGGGACGTGGCGGGAGGTGGGCGTAGGGCCGACCGGGCGGGAACCGGGAGTGAGTCTGGGTCACGGAGCGTACCGCTGGGGGGTCGTGCGTCGGTGTGGCTACGGGGGGGGGTGCCCCCTGTGGTAGGGTGGGGGGCGGGGGGCGTATCGTTCCCGGAGTCGAGGGGGGCGCGGGGGGAGGGACGTATAGGGCGGGTAGGCTGGGATCGTGTGGGAGCGGGTGCGCTGCATCGCTGGCAGGATGGCAGGGGACGGGGAGCGGAAGGAGCGGGGGGAGGGACAGGGGGCCGCGGGATGGGGGTTAGTTGTCGGGTGTTGGGGAGTGGTGCTGAGTGGGTGGGCGATAGAGGGTCGGGGGGGTGCGGGGTATCTAGGGACCCAAGTGGAGTGGATGGACACGGGGGGGACCGGGGGAGGAGGAGGGGGACAGTGGGGGAAGCATGCGTGGTTGCCGCGGGGTTGCGAAGTGGGTGGGGGGGCCGCGTGGCTGGGATCTAGTGTATGTTGAGGTGGGAGGCGGTAGACGGGGGGACGGTCGGGGGGATGGGGGGGGGTGCGGGGGGGGAGGAGGTTGGGATGGGGTGGCAGTGGGGGGGGCGGGGGTGGTAGTGGGGGGGGGCAGGCGGAGTGAGGGGAGGTCTGTGGGTAGGTGAGGGGGGGGGGGCCGCACGTTGAGCGCCTGGCGGGGGCCGGGGGGCGGCGTTCGTACTGGCCTGGGAGGCACGTAGTTTGGTCTTGATTTGTGGTGTGATATTGGGAGTCTGGGGGTGGGGGGGGAGGCGGAGGGGGGTGTGTGGGGGGGGGTCCGCAGTGGCGATCGGCCCGTGTTGCGGGTGAGGTGGGCGTGGGGGGGCTGAGGTTGGGCGACGCGAGGGGTGAGGGAAATAATTGTAGGGGGGTTCGTTGAAGCTGGTGGGGGGGGGGGCGGCGGAGATAAGGAAAGGGGGCGGGATGGCTGGGGGCGAGGGAGAGGGGCAGCGGACGGGGGGGCGGGGTGGTCGGTCGCGGGGGGAGGTGGGTGGGAGGGGGGCGGAGGATCGATGGGAGGGGGAAGGGGTTCTTTGGGCGGGGGGGCGGTCGGCGACTCGGAGGGGGGGAGGGTGGGGAAAGGGAGCGCCGGGCGGGGGCAGTTGCGGGGGCTATGGGTGGGGGCAGCATTCGGTGGGGGGGGGGGACGCGCGGCGGGGGATGGGGAGATGGAGGGGCGCTGAAGGTGGGGAGGGGTGGTGGGGTGGAGGGCGGGTTGTTCTGGGCGGGACGGGGGGTTGAATGGGGGTGGCTTGGGGGAGGGGGCAGTGCGGAGGGAAAAACGCGTGCGGTGTCGTGGGCTGGGAACGGCCGGTGAGGGAACGGGCGTCGCTTAGGGGTGGGGCCGTGGGAGGGCCGGCGTACCGGGGGTGAGGGGAGGGGGGCGAAGTGGGACTCTAATGTACAGGCGCTGCGGATGACCTTGGGGGTGCGGGTGGATGCGTGGGGCGTGGCTTAGGAGGGCGGAGGACACCCAGGGCTGGGGGGTCAGAGCGGGGGGCGGGGGTCGGGGGGAGGCGGGCGCGGTCAGGGCGGGGGTGCAGTGAAGGGGAGGGGAGGAGGTGGGGGTTGGGGGCCGAGGAGGGGGGAGGGGGCAGGAGGCCGGAGGAGGGGGGAGGTGGTCTAGCCTAGGAGTTTAGCGTGGAGTGGCGGGGGCGGCGACGTGTGTGGCCGACGGGGGGGGGCAGGGCAGCGGGGGGGGGGGGGGAGCGGGTGCGCAGCACGCGGGAGCAGGTAGGGGTACGGGCATGACAGAGGGGAGTCAGGGGGGGGGAGCGGGGGGTGGGGCTAGGGGAAGCGGGGGGGAGGGCAGGCCGGGGGAAGCTGGCGGACCGAGAATGGGGGAGAGGGTGGGGGAATCCGGGGGGAGGGGAGGTGGTAGGGGGGAGTGGACGGGAGTAGGCGGGGGCGGGGGGCTAGAGGGGGTCCTGGAACGGGAGCGTGGTGTGGCCCCTGTGGAGGAGGTGAGGGGCGGGGGGGGGGGCGGGGGAGGGGAGCCGAGGGATTGGGGGTGTGGGCCGACAGTGGCGGGGGCGGTGGGCGGGAGGGGGGGTGGGCCGGTGGTGCGGTTGTGTCGCTTGTCGTGGCAGGGGTGTCTATGGGGGGAATGTGTGGGGAGGTCGGATGTGGTCGGGGGGTGGCGGCGTAGGCGCGGGGGAGGGGTTGGGGGGGGGGGCGGGACAAAGGGGTGCGTGAGGGCGGTGCGTCGTGAGGGACAAGGTGGGGGGGGGGGGGGGGTGCAGGGGTGGGGGGTAGCAACGGACCCGGCCTGGTGTGTTGGGGGGGTGGTCTGCCTAGCGGTATGGGGAAGTGTGTGAGGCGGGGGGACAGCCGGGGGGCGAAGTGGGGGTGGTAGCAGAGGGGGGGTGTAAAGGGGGAGGTCAGGGGGGAGGCGGGGGGGGGGGGGAGGGGGGGGTGGGGAGGGGGGGCGGAGGAACGCCGCTGGTCGGCAAGAGTGTCGGAGGGGCTGGTGGGGGGGGGCGCTGGGGGCCGGGGGCGGCGGGGCGGGGAGGGGGGGGTAGGAGGAGAGGGGCAGTACGGGGGGTGGGGGGGTGCGGGGCGGGGTTAGCTCGGGGCGGCGGAGGTCTGTCGTGTCGCGCGCAGCCGCAGGGCGGAGGGAGAAGACGGAAGAAGGGGGGGGGAACCTGGGGGTGGGGTGAAGGAGGCGGGGTCACTGGGGATGCGGCGGGAGAGGGGCGGAGGTGAGGGGGGGGAGGTGGGGGGACTCGACGGAGGGGGGAGGGATGCGCGGCGGTGGGGAAGGGCGGTGAGGTGGGGGGGGGGAGAAGGGGGGGGTGAGGAAGTCTGGTCAGATACAGGGGGGGGTGGGCGAGAAGCGGGGTCCAGGGGGGGGGGGGGTGTTGTGGGAAGGGGGTCGAGGGCTCGCAGGTGGCGTGAGGGCGGGGGGGGGGAGGGTAGGGCGTTGCCGTGGGGGCTTTGTCGCGGGGTTGGGGGCAGGACGGCGGGGACTAGGGCTGAGGCGTGGCGGGGGGGGGGGCTGGGGGGGGAGTGGAACGGGTGGAGCGGCAGGGTGGGACGAGGTATCAGTGGGTGGGTTGGGGGCTTGGGGTAAGGGGGGTGCGCGCGTGGTCTTTGGTCGCCAAGGAGTCAGAGGGGGGACTCGGGGGCGGTGCGGGAGTGCGAGATAGGGGCGGGGGGTGGTTGGGCGCGGGGGGGGGGGGGCGTGTGGTTTAGGAAGGGCGGGCTAAGAGCGGGGGGGGGTCGGGGGCGGGGTGCGGAGGGGGGTTGGGAGGGGCGTGGTGAGTCATGGCGGGGGGGTGGGTGCGGGGGAGGGCTGGGGATGGGGAAGCAGGGCAGGGTAGAGGCTCGAGATAGCGCCATTCAAGGACGGGGGGTCAGAGGGGGGTCGGGGGGGGGAAGAATGGAGCGGGGGCGGAGGGGGCTCCGGTAGCGGGGGGGGGGGGGGGGGCAGGGGCGGGGTCCGGAGGTAATGGGGGGGATGGCGTTTGGGGGCTGGACATACATTAAGACACAGAAATAATTCACATTTTAAAAAGGTATATGGGAGGATTTTCTACCGCCGGGTGGATCATCAAGACTATTGGTCCTACCCAACTGTCAATCATTCTGGCGATACGTGCTCGTCCAATCAGACCAGAGAGTTTTGTATCTTTTGAACCCCTCTCCTCTCAGGCCGAGATTATCCTTCAAGCTTTTCCTTTAAAACCACTTCAACGGTACTTTACAGCCTCTTGAAGCAAGAGAATCACTCTGTCCTGCTGTTAATAACAATAACACTCAGATCATTGGACCAAGAGTTCAGAGTCAGAGCAACTGGAGCAGAGCCATTTGTCAGCTGCTGCTTTGTGTAAACTCATTCACGCTTAAGAATCATTTTCACATTATTTGTACCTGAACTCAAAGCTGTAGGATACAAAGGAATGAATGGTGTCCTTGCGTGGCTTTATGGTCCATGATGGTTTTATCTACAGCTGATTTATGAATATGATGAGGTCATAATCTAACTATAATCCATAGTTTTGTGAATCTAAATCAGTATCAAAGAATTAAAACATTTGAGCAATTTCTCTTTCAATGTTTATTTAAAAAAAAGGCGATTTTCCAGTAGAATTGTTTTTGCACCTGATAGAACTCTTGAATATGAATGCAACCTATAGATAATAATATAACTTCCTGAATGAACAGAAAGACAAAACAAGGACATTTACACATTACATTTAAAAAGCATAAAAACTATCATAGGGGCTGCTTGGTGCCTGAAGCCGCGGAGAGGCGAGTTGGGTCCGGTAAAATTGTATGACGCGCTAAATTAGTGTAGAAAACAAACGAAGGCTGGATCCAGCTGCGATGACATTGATTTAATTAATAATAAACGCTGCGGTCACAGGCCAAAATGTGTAGTGTATACAGAAAAATGATAAACTCAAGTAAGAAAAATAGCAAAAATAAATCAAACAAAACAGACCTCTCTCCTCTTTCCGTGCCCCTGCAGGTGTATGCCCATTCATAATCTCGTGTACCGCGCCCAGAACACACATGCACGCCCACACACGCGCCTACACACACACACACACACAGGCCCTCACGCACACGCCCACACACGCGCCCACACACACACACACACACAGACAGGCTCTCACGCACACGCCCACACACACATACACGTTTTTGTTACCTGGTGGGTCCCTTTGACAGGGCCGTTCAGAATGGGACCCATAGACATAATCTTTTTTTACCAAGACTTTAAGTAATACAAAACAGTCAATAGAAACCAAACAACTATTTTAAAGGAATTTTATTTTAGATTTTGTTTTCGAATTGCAGTGATTCTATTTTTGACATAGAATTTAATGCCACTCCATGTCCGATGTCTAAGGTCATCTGGTGAGGCATTAATGCAGGCCAGGCCAGGTGAGACTTCCCAGGGACCTTTCCAGTCTGTATGAAAGGTGTCATGGTCTTCTCCACAGCCTTCACCTCAGATGCAGACCATGGCTTTCTTACACGTTCTAGGGAGAGAAATAAAAATATATTAGCAATATACACTCCCAGGGTGAGGACCAAGCAGCCTGGCTGTAATCCCCCACCTGGTACACTTACCAGAAGGGGCACTGCCACTACCATGGGGTGCATCTGGATGAATGGTTGAAGGTTCTCCGCTTGAAGTTTCTTTTAGCCCGTCCGTTTGTGAGAGGATCTCTACTGCTCTCCCTGTCGCACAGAAAATAAAAATACAAGTGGCCTTTAGGGGAAAAAAATCATACATATTTTAATAATATCAAGAATTACCTTCAGGCTCAATTTGTATCTGGTCGAGGCTCTTTCCTTCGAATTCCGTCACTCTTCCCTGCTCCATGGCCATCAACACTTTGCTGATTTTGGCCAGCTCCAGTGTCCCCTCTGGTAGTCTGTAATATTGCCTGTGGATGCGAATGTCATGGCCGAGGAAGTTGGCAAGTATGTCCATCTCATTCTCTTTCATATTGAGAACTGTAGACATAGTAGCTATGTGCTTTCTAAGTTTGGTTGAGGATAGCATCTCTGGATGCACCGCACCACATTCTTTGGCTACCTGGCGTAGGGAGTCTGATCCCCTGATGTGGGTGTCTGCGCCCGGGCGGGAAAAGAAGTATGGGTTATGGTCAGAGATGGAACAGGCCCTTCTGTTCTCCACCAGCACCTCCATCCAAGCAATCATTTCAGGAGTCAAAAGAACCGGCACTTTCCGACTTCTTTTCCCTTTAATTTCAATGCGTTGAAAATGCTGACACAGCTTTTTCTCAAGTTGGGACAGTCCCAGAGCAATGTCAGAATGGATCCCAGTCTTACTTCTTAAGGTAAAGGCTGTCAGTGGCATCTTTGAAACCTCACCTTCCCTTCTTCGATTGAAAATGATGACCTCACAAAGAGTCAAAACTGCCAGTTTAGACCAATGCTTAGACGTTGGCTCACTTATTAGGGTTTGCACATATTCAGGTCGACATACCTCAATATGTGCATGCATGGCTCTAACGTCCTCAGTCAGAGGGAGCAGGTCCGGAGTGTTCCACTTGGCTTGCCGGAGGGTCTGTAGGGCAGCAGAAGAAACACAGACGTCCCACCTCTTCTCAAAAAGCAGCCGGCTTCGTTGGAGGTTTTTAATAAATAGTTCATCAACACAATGCTCCATTTTTGAGTCACATTCAAGAATATCTGCTAGCTTTCTGAGGCTATGGCCGAGTTTGAGGGCCAAGGATGGAGTCTTGTATTGATTTGTTTCCTCATCATATCCAGCCACAGACCTGACTGCATCAATCACATGGTTAAAGTTGGAAGGAATAAAGAAATCCTTAATTGTTTTCAGTTTCCCTGCGGTTTTTTGCTTCGTTAATTAACCTACCGACTTCTCTCATTTTCTGCCTAATGTAATCATGCTTAGTCTTATCATGCCCGTGTTTTAAGTACAGGTGCTCTCCGAGTCTCAGAATCCCCTTTTCTGCTTTGACAACACCCGTGACCTCATCCTGATGCATTGCCCAAATTAAAGACCACAGCTTTTTGCTGATGCCCTCCGGTACAGGCTGGGCTAGGGAGCAGAGGGACTGGACCCTACTTCTACCTGGTTAGCCTGGTTTAGCCTGGGCATCTTTCTGTGAAAGCCGGCACCTGGCCACATGCCTCCACAGCGACTTTCGCTTAAGCAATGCCCCACAGTCTATACAGTGCAAAAACTCACTGGATTTAACTGGGGAATTTGGCTGTTTAGCTGGGACTAAAGTTCCAATGCCG